AAACAACACAGAAGAAAGTGAAATGATATTTGGAATATTATCTGTATTGAAGATGTCTTTTTTTAATATTATGTTAGTATGTATACTTATAACATAAGTATGCATGTGTACTGAGGATATATGAGTATTCAGATTAATATGATTCATCATATATCAAATATTTTTATTTTGGAAGCATGTTATAAGGCCACCGGTGGTTATATGTCTATGAAATGTGTTTCAGATCTTGTATTTTATATCAAATGTGTACATTCATAGCTCATGGTATTGTTCTATTCCAAAACTAATGCTATTTGATAATTTTGTGATATTTGGTTGATGCACAACATTTATATATGTCTCATGTGTATGAGGTTCAGCGATATCAGATGTCATGTTTTATGTATAAGAGTTGGCGTTGTTACATAGAAAAGGAGCTATATTATATTCATCTACGTTATGTGTCGCCTGACCAATTATCCACCTCGACGAGGGGTCCTCGCTCCATTTTTAAGTTTTTGGCAAAGTATAGCACTTTATGGAAAAGTATAGCACTAGATGGAAAAGTATAGCACTTTATGACAATAGTATAGCATTTTATTGCTAAAGCATATCACTTTATTCTCTCTGGAAATTCTGCAACTTAGTTGTCTAAAACCAAATCAGTTTTTTTCACAACAATGTAAACACTCGATGATCTATGTTATGTATTTATTGACCAATCATCCACCGTGACGGGGGGTCCTCGCGCAATTTTGAAGTTTTTGGCGAAGTATAGCACTTTATGGGAAAGTATAACACCTTATGGCCAAAGTATAGAACTATAAGGTAAAATATAACACTTTATTGGTAAAGTATAGCACCTTATTGGCAAAGTATAGCATCTTACGCTCTCTGAAAATTCTGCATCTTAAGTTGTCTAAAACCAAATCAGTTTTTTCACAACAATGTAAACACTCGATGACCTATGTTATGTATTTATTGACCAATCATCCACCGCGACGGGGGGTCCTCGCGCAATTTTGAAGGTTTTGGCAAAGTATAGTATTTTATGGGAAAGTATAGCACCTTATGACCAAAGTATAGCACTATATGGCAAAGTATAGCACTTTATTGGCAAAGTATAGCACCTTATTGGCAAAGTATAACACCTTATGCTCTCTAGAAATTCTGCACCTTAAGTTGTCTAAAACCAAATCAGTTTTTTCACCACAACGCAAACACTCGATGACCTACGTTATGTGTTTATTGACCAATCACCCACCGCGACGGGGGGGTCCTCGCACAATTTTGAAGGTTTTGACAAAGTATAACACTTTATGGAAAAGTATAGCACCTTATTACCAAAGTATACCACTATATGGCAAAGTATAGCACTTTATTGGCAAAGTATAGTACCTTATTAGCAAAGTATAACACCTATACTTTGCCAATAAGATGCTATACTTTACAAATAATGTGTTATACTTTATCATATAGTGCTATACTTTGACCATAAGGTGCTATACTTTCTCATAAAATGCTATACTTTATCAAAACCTTCAAAATTATGCGAGGACCCCCCATCACGGTGGATGATTGGTTAATAAACATGTAACGTAGGTCATCGAGTGTTTGCGTTGCGGTGAAAAAAACTGATTTGGTTTTAGACAACTTAAGGTACGGAATTTCCAGAGAGCATAAGGTGCTATACTTTACCAATAAGGTGCTATACTTTGCCAATAAAGTGCTATACTTTGCTATATAGTATTGACCTTCTTGTTTTGATGATGTTTAACAAACAATTTACCACTAATATTGTTTGTCTAGTATTTATGTTTTCTTATTTATTATAGACAAACAACGTGGTTGAAGGATGGATGGAATAGAGCTTCAACGATCATATCAAATGGAGGTTGGTGGAATATCGGTGAAGCTTATGCAATTCAAGTTCAAGATCCAAGTTTAGCTTCATCCGCACAGTGTACCAAGTCGAGCTTATTGAAGATCAAGATCTAGCTTGGGTAACTTAGTATAGGTTTTATATTATGTGTGTTAAGTACGTTAAGCTCAATATCTATACACACATATTTATTGGTTTCTTCGTATATATATATATATATATATATACATAAGTTTTGGTTTCTATGCATATATATAGTTATATATATACATACATGTGTTTTTGAGTTTTCATGTTTATAAATATGAAATCATATATTTCATATTTACTATTGTGTTTTTAAAATCATTGCATAGAATATGTAATTTTGTGAAAATTCTATATTCTTAGTTTTTGGACTTAACAATAATCATATACATATTTTATTAAGTCTATATAATCATTGTGCAAAGTTTCAAAACATGGTTTAGCCAAAATATCAAAATTTACATGTTTACATTTTCGTGTTTTGAACTATTTTGCAAAATGATGATTTTTCACAAATGGAAAATTCTTTTTGTAACATGCTCATTTACATGTTTATATACATTTCCCAAAGTTTCATTATTTTTAGACTTCATTTGTTATTTTTAACATATTTTCCAAAGTCTCAAAATCAGCTTTTAAAATCTAGTTTTCTGTAGTATCAGATTTCGGTCGACCGCACCGGTCGATCGCTTATATGTTCAGTCGATAGTGGGCAGCAGAGAGTTTTTCGGTCGACCGGTGCGGTCGACCGAGAGCTCGAAATTTCCATCGGTCTACCGAATAAGTCTCTGTGCGTTTTCTCCGTTTGGAACCTGGATCGCGGTCGAGCGTGAGAATTTTCGGTCGACCGCCGCTCAGTCAATTCTGTTTCCAACGGCTATTTTTGTTACCGTTGCTGGGACTGTTTTGTCATTTGGTTTGGGTTTTTGGCTGAGATTTTGAATGGGTATAAATACCCCATTGCTGTTCTCTTTCAAGATATAAAAAATCTAAGAAGTTTTTAAACAAGGTTTTAATCAAGGGTTTAAGTTGGTTTAAGTGTGTTTATAAGATTTTAAGCATTTGAGTGTTTTCGGTTTGGTGAATCAGTTTTACAAGAGCTTGAGGAGATTATCAATTGTATTTTGGGCATTCAATCCATCTCCATCTCTTGTTATCAAATTGAGATGTTTTCTAAACTCAAACTCTAGCTTTACATTTATATACTTGTTTGATTATCATTGTTCTTAAGCTAGATTTTATATTTGAGTTTAGTTGATTTGATTTTATTTACTCATTGTTACACACACCCACTTTGAGCTTATTGTATTTGCATACATAGTATATTAGGGTTGTGAGAGATTATAACTTTGAGTTGTGCTTAATTGAGTTCTCCCCTTGTATGAGAAAACAAATCATTTATTGTTACATTGTGAGATTGTAAGGTTTTCGATGAGCTAGAAAACCAAGTGTGTTGTGAAGTTTTCGGTGAACTAGAAAACCGAGTGTGAGGAGTGAACGTTGTTCGGTGAGCGTTGAAAACCGACACTGTGAGGTGTAAATTTTATTCGGGTGAGCGTAGAAAAACCGGTTGTGATAGTGGATTTCTCCCCGGGAGTGGGGAGCGGAGACGTAGGATGGAAGGTCCGAACTCCGTGATCATATCTTGTGTTTGAGTGTGCTTTGGCGTTTATTTATACTTGTGTTTATATTTCTTATCGCCATTGTCATTAGCTCATTATTTATATGATCCACTATCTAGTTCACATTGTTTACCCTTGGGTTAGTTTATATATCATTGTATATATATTTCATTATATAGGATATATCTCATTATTCATATTGCTTATCCTAGCTTATATAGTTGTTATATTTCATACTTGCTAGGATAACTCATTAATTATTTTTAATTGGTATTTAATCGGATTAGATTAGCATAAGACCCTAATCACCCCCCTCCCTCTAGGGTCTAACATATAATGCTATACTTTGACCATAAGGAGATCTACTACTAAATAATGAAGACAAAGAAGACATTACTTTTTTTCACTTTATGCAGACTACTTACCGGACATGGCGCGCATTCAGAGTCAAATTAATTAAGAAAGAATACGATCCTGTTTTGATTTGAAAAATGATAGGGGCACACCCCAACCACAACTCTAATCTCTCTCTCTCTCTCTCTCTCTCTCTCTCTCTCTCTCTCTCTCTCTCTCTTTCTCTCTTGCTACAGTGCACCGGAGCACACATGAGATTTTAAAAAATTTAAAATCTCATGTGTGGTCCGGTGCACTGTAGCAAGAGAGAGAAAGGGTGTGGTTGGAGTTGTGGTTGGGGGTGTGCCCCTAGTGCCACTCTTTTGATTTGCCTCTTTAAAAGAGATGTTAAATTTATAATTAATCATTTGATTCTCAGTTTAATTAGGGAGTTTGGATACCTTGAAAAGATTTAAGAAGCTATTATATGACCATTTGGATTCAAGAATTTACTGACCATGTTTAAAACGAACTTAAACCAAGTATATTGTCACCAAAATTCCGAAGTTAAGATAAGAATCGAGGGTCATAATTTTATATTCTAATTTACTTACAGATTACGCACTTTAATGAGCCGAAACTTAAACTCACGTGGTCGTGCCTATTTTTTTAGATTGCCAAAACTCCAAAGTTAAAAATCAGCATTAAAAATTTTATATTCTGAAAAGTGTTAAATGTCCTCTTTCATTGCACTAGAACTTCAAACTCGCAGCGATGAGTAAGAATGTAATTGTAACCCAATCATGTTGATGCAAATCAAGCATTAATTTGTTTCATGGATCGAACACATGAGCTGACACAACAATATCTTTTCCTCTTTCTTAATGGCTTTAAGCCCATGATCGGTAGTTTTTGAGTCTAGATTGTTCTGATATCAAATTAAATGTCGCTTCTATTATGTAAATAAATACTCTGAAGTCACCATGAGAATTAACAAAAGTATCTAGAGTTATTATTATTATTATTATTATTATTCAATATAAAACCCTCGGGTCCCATTGCAAAGTGAGTGGTTGTTTGAACGCGGTAGAGTAGAATTTTTAAGGCTACTGTCTTCAACAGCCCACAAAAGATTCAAATAAGGTGAGTTAGAAGAGAAGACTTTCATTCTTCAAAGAAAACCCTCATGCTTTGCATGCAGGCTGCTGAGCCTCCTCAGCTTCCACTTGTGTATTCATTACTCTTTGTGACCCCCGCCGGCGCCAAGTGTCCTCTTCATTCCTCTCCTCTATTTTGTCCTCTCTCTCTCTCTCTCTCTCTCTCTCTCTCTTCCAGCAGAATTCTTGCCATCTCAAAGCCTGACGCAGGTGCTCTTTCTCTTTCTCAATCTGTCTTTTTTTTTAATGATTTTTATGATTTATTCTTCAGAGTCTTATCTGGGTCTCTTGTGTTATATCGAATTAGTGAGGGAACTTGAAGAAATCGGTACAGGGTAATGTTATTTCTATTGTTTTAAGTGTGTAGGTTCCATTTTTTTTGCAAAATTTTTGGGGAAAAGATCAAGGGAATAGTAAATTAAGAACTGGCTGGGGATGGTGACATATTAAATCCATCTATTTTATGGTCATATGCCGGTTTCAGAGGGTTTCTATAAAATTGGTACTACGTACGACCTTTTTTTTAAAAAAATAATTTATTGTTCAGGTAAATGATATGGAAAATGACTATTGAACTAAAATGTTAGGTATTTAATATTTGGTTTGACTCAATGATGGTTCTTTATCTACTTTTCTTTTTTCTTTTTTAAGTTTGGTACATCAGCAATCAACCAAAGCTAACTTGAATCCTTTGTTTGGTGGAAGGTGGTTCTTGGGAGCTAGTACTCATTAGAAAGCTAAAACGCCAGCGCAAACCAAGAAGTTTTTTTTTTTTTTTTTTTTTTTTGTTTCCAAATATTTTTTTTTTTTTTTTTTTTTTTTTGGTTTCCGGAAAAAACTGAGATAATATAGACAAGGGAATAGAGGATATATGATTTGGGAAATACTTAATTGAGAGAGGTTTAAATGATCCATATGGTTCATGCATGCAGTCTGCATCTATTGCAATTTGGTGATCAGGGAAAAATTCTTTTCGATCATTTGTTCTTTTCTAGGATGCTTGGTGTCTAAGTATCATACTCTGCAATACTTGTGTGTTCATCTATCATTTTTAGGATACTTAATTTGGTTCATATACTCCATGATGACCCTTCTTCTTAGTTTTATGTAGGGTTAATTACATAAAACCCCCATGGGGAGTTGCAATATAACCCCCATAATTTTTTTATTGCACTAAAATGCTCTGAACTTTAGGAGTTGTTGCACTTGAACTCCACGAACTGTTTTGTTTCACTAAATTTCACATGAAAAATTCTCATTTAATCTCTAAATTAGCACAATCGATCCTACCATCTCATGTGGCAACCATGTGCCAAAAAAAGATAAACATAATTCCTTAGTCTCAAAAAAATTTATTTTCCTTTTTAATAAAAGGGTTTTTTGGGACAAATAAGGAATTTATTATGCCTTCTGTTTTCCCCTGTGCTTACTAGCGATACATTAGAGTTGATGGTACTAATATGTGGATTAAAAGATAAAATTTTAGATAAAATAAAACTGTTTATGGGGGTTATGGGCAATGACCCTTAAAAGTTCAGTGTGGACTAGGCTAGTAAAAAAAGTTGATGGGTGTTTACTGCAACTCCCCAAAAGTTCTTTTTTTTGTGTGTGTGTGTTGGGTGGGGGGGGGGGGCCTTTTATGTACTATAAAAACCTCTGTTAGATATATCTAAGGTTTTAAATGTCGGATGTCGGGTTCATGTCGGATGGCTGAAATCCATATCGGATAGCAAAAATCGGGGATATATCGGCGGACATTGACTAAATATCGGATTGCCATATCGGGTAGTACACATATGTATAATATCATGTCCTAAATGTAATCTAAACATTCATAAATTTAATATAAGCATACTTTATAAATTCTATAGACTAAACATATAAAAAAGTAAATAATATATGGATTTGGGTTCATAAATTCTTTCTATCGGGTTTATAAGAAACCCTTAAACATGAGAACGGGTCAAACGAGTTTGGGTATTTATCACTAAACCCAAACCCAATAACAAAAAACAGATCTTAAAAAAGAGTACCATATTGGCCGATTTTTTAAAGCTAAAAAATAGGCCAACATGCCCGATATGACCCTGATATTTCCGATTTGGCCCTGAAAACCGACATACGAGTTGAAAACGTTCATGTCGTGTCGGTCAAGCCCTCAAACCGATATGTCGACCGACATGTCGGACATGTCGGCCGACATTTAAAACCTTGGATATATCACAAATGCTATATCGGACCTGGACATGAAGCCTTCTTTAGTTTCTTCTTGAAAACTTTTGATGTTTATGTTGGTCAAATATGAAAAGGAATTCTTAAAGTGTGAGAAGATAAAATGTGTGAGGGTGATTTCTTTTGTTCCCTGGACAAAGCCCAAGACGTGTGGGAGGCTAGCATGAGCCAGCGGATTTTGGAGGTAAACGCGTGAAGGGAAGGGCTCTCTTTGCTGGCTTGTGTGTGGGGACCACGAGCGTAAGAGAAGCATGTGAATGCAAAACCACGTGAAGTGATGAGTCCAACGGAAAAAAGCCGATTACCCGGTTACCCGATATCATCTGCTATATATATAGTTGATGATTCTCTCCTAGGGTAGTGTGCAAGTACGAAATTAGGGGGTGTAGGTAGAGGCGCAAAGCGGCGGCTGCAGAGAATAGGCGTAGGCAGAGGTGAAAAGAAAAGTCAGTCAGCGGCTTTCTTTGGCTTCGTGCAAACATGCTTTTGTGCTTTTGAGAGAGATTTTGTGTGAGGGATTTGAGAGTTTGTGTGAAGGTTTATATTGAGTGATTGTAAACTCTAGTTATATTCTCTCCCTCTAATAGTATATCCCCCCTCCTTGCCCCGTAGACGTAGGTAGTTTACCGAACTATGTAAAATTGGTTTGTTTGTGTTTGTGATCATTGTAATAGTTTTTAGGATCCCTCGACAAGTCAGTCCTAGAACTGATGAGAGGAAGAACCGATATCTCACTTTGTTGAGATATTCGCTTCAGATTCTTGTTTCCTTGGTGAGACAGGAATTCTTATTGAGATCTTTCTCTCTTATTGTGCACCAGAAACTCTACCGAAATTTTCGCTGCGCACAATATAAAGTCCCTTCCACTGCATCAAAAGCGAACACCAGAGTTGTGATTAGAGCTGAGGGTCATAATTTATACTCTAATAAGAAATGCTATTGGAACAAACAGAGAATAGAGCGTCACATTTTTGTATCTTACTTTTGAAAAATATTTCAGTACTTTCCTTCATAAGAGAAAAACATGCGATCAAGTTAATTGAAGAATATAGAAGGGAATTCTTACACTCATGTGCATACTAAGTAGCTTTTATAGTAACTTTTGGTTTTGGATAGACAGTCAGGAGTTAGGGTTTGTACTTGTTTTGGATTAATTCTAATGCTTCTTAAATCTGTTCTACTCAAGAGTTTTGGATTAATTCTAATGCTTCTTAAATCTGTTCTACTCCTCAAGATTGTTATTTAATGCCTTTAAGATGTGAACACGTAGGGGCTCACCCACGTGTGTGGACGTGTTTGTTATTCGTGGACGCGTTTGTTACAAGTTCACGAACGCGGTTTCACGTGGATGCGGTTTTTTTAACCGCTGGCATCATCCACAAACATGTGTTTTCCCAATTATAAATAGGATTGATTTGATAGGGTTTCAGTGTGCAAATGGGCTTCGTGAAAGGAGAAAAGCAAAAGGGAAAAATGGCGTGCAGGGAAAAACAGTAGAGATTCTTTTCGGCGCTGTTTTGAAGAGGAATGTGCAGCCATTTTTTTTAGAGTTTTGCATCTTTTTGAGAGAGATATTTGTATGAGAGGTTTGAGAGTTTGTGTGATGATTTAGATTGAGTGATTGTAAACCCTAGTTGTATCTCTCCCTCTAATAGTAGATCTCCCCCCTTCTTGTCCCGTGGATGTAGGCAATTTGCCGAACCACGTAAAATTGGTTTGTTTATATTTGTGGTTATTGTAATAGTTTTTAGGATTCCTCGACAAGTCAGTCCTAGAACCGATGAGAGAAAGAGCCGATATCTCACCTTGTTGAGATATTCACTTCATATTCTTGTTTCCTTGGTGAGACGAGAATTCTTATTGATATTTCTCTCTTATCGAGCACCAGAAACTCTACCGAAATTTCCGCCGCGCGCAACATATGATGGCTTCCTCTTTCACACATAAAGTTGACTCCTCGAGATTGTTATTTAATGCCTTTAAGATGGCTTCCTCTTTCACACATAAAGTTGTAGTTCCTAAACTAAAGCCTTCTACTTTCATAGGCTTGCATAAGTTCTTGTTTACATGCATCTTTTATGCATTTTCTTGTTTGATACTCTTATGTCTCGATGAATTACTTTTCGTTTCAAGATAGAATGGCTTTACATCACATTTCTCTTCGTTTCATGCTCATTGATCCCCTCCACCTCCTATAATTTGGATTGATTCTTGTTAACTAACTGGAATTAGATATACGCTATGCAATTTGGACCCTGATGAATAGACCACCTTCCTATCTGTAAATATGCTGAAAGTTACATTTTTTTACTTATTTAATTTGATGTCAATTGATGTTTTTAAACCGGGAGATTTCATAGCTTAGTTCCTATATCTGATATTTACCATGTTCTCATTATTCACTAGTGTCATACTTCATTACAAATTTGATTGTTTTTTCGTATCCCCCTTTTTAATCACAGTCAATAACATGTAAGTTGAAATAATATCTAGAATTTATTTCTCACTTTCCATCGCAAATTTTCAGGTTATAAGATCAGCCTAAATTTCAATCGGAGACTCTTGTGCCACTGAGGAAGTTCACCTAGCAATCTTAGATGCTGCAAATGACACGGGAAACATGCTTACTTCTTCTGCTCATCTTTATGTTCTCCTATACATCAGGTGCTCAAACTACGACCACTTGTCTGCATTATAAGAAAACTAGTATTTAGACCCATGCAAAGCACGGATGCTAAAAGATTTTTTGCAAATATTGAACATGTTACCAAAATAAAGTATTCTGCTTTAGATATGAAGTATAGTGGTGGAAGTGAACCAAATAATTAATAAACAGTTTGGTTATTATTCGTCCAGATATTTGATCAAATTCGATTCGATAACTACTTCATTAACCAAATTTCTAAAGATCAAATAACTACTCAAAACTGAAACAGAAATAGCACAATAAAGGTTAATTTTTTTCAGTGCATAAATGTGAAAATATTTTTCTAAAATTTAAATTTGAAAAGTGAAATAAAGTTACCATTTCATAACTTTGATGAACCAAGTTGACCCTCCGTTTCGATCCATCCATCATCATCTCTGACGTAATCAATCTCCAATCCCTAACCTACGAACAAACAAAACCCATTAAAACTTAGCAACCAAATCTTCATTAAAAAAAGCAAAAAAGATTACCTAACTAAAATTTAAACATAAGGGTTAGGGATATGATCAGAATTAGGCACTATTAAGATTAACTAAATCAAATTTGATCATTATAAATAGAAATTATCATCTTCACCATGCTAAAAGAAGTAACTAAATAATCCAAAAACCAATAATCTGAGACGCCAAAAATTAGAATTTAGATCAACTTCATCACCATGATTTATATATCAATCAATTCTTCTAGAAACTAACTAAAAAAACTTTTTATGCAGAAAACCCTCACAAAATGAAATCAGAGAAAGTACCTGCAATTTTTTTCTTTTCAAAGAAGAAATCTTGAGATAGAGAATTGTGAGAAATTTGTGAAGGTCAATCAACAAATCAGAAAATAAAAGACTGGTGCCTATAAAAGACATACTATGAAAATTCTTACAGATAATAGTTATACAATTCTTATAGTAAATAAGAGAAAGAATGGTAAAATATAATTCACATTATAGTGTTCACAATTATACTAATTTATAACACAAATTTTGAGTTGCAGTGGTAGCATTTAAGTGAGAAGTAGTATTTCATAGTTCTTAAAAAGCTAGAAGCACTACTAATATTATTACGATTTCGGAAGAAGACTTAAATACAATTCCAACAGTTATCTCTCAATCACTAACTCAAATTGCTACTTAGTAACTGAATATACAAACTGTAACAACTAATTAGTAAATATAATGAATTGTGATTGGATAACATCAACCTGTAAGAACCACTTGGGAAGAAACATTTAACATTAGGTTCATTTCCCCTCAACAAAACCATAGTCTAAATTTTTTTTAAAGAAATCTAACACAATGATTAAATTGTGAAATCATCCTATTTTGATGGTGCTTGGAATCCTTTATTCTATATAGATCAGTGATTTGAGACTTGGGGACAACATTCAGCTTCACTTGGTACAACGAATTCAAGTATGACAATTGAAGAATGACTAGTTGAAAATAATAATCAACAAAGCCAAGAGAAGTTACCAGCATACATAAAAATGAGCATTTGAAATGATCCAATGATGTATTGAAAAAAAAGGCTATGGAGACAAATATAATTACTTTAAAAATGTGTAATAATTAACAAATTTAGTTCAAGAGTGTTAACATAGTCTACAATGAAACTATTTTGACTAACATTTCTCTAAAGCTTACACCAAAACTTTAAAAAAAGACAATATTTACTACTTTAACAGTAAAAGAAGTTAATATCTGACTAGTTCTTCCATTCTTATCTGAAATTTTTAATCAATCAATTGACTTTAAAAATGTGTAATAATTAACAAATTTAGTTCAAGAGTGTTAACATATTCTACAATGAAACTATTTTGACTAACATTTCTCTAAAGCTTACACCAAAACTTTAAACAAAAGACAATATTTACTACTTTAACAGTAAAAGAAGTTGATATCTGACTAGTTCTTCCATTCTTATCTGAAATTTTTTAATCAATCAATTTGAGCCTGAAGCAAAAAGGATAACTAAACACACAACATAAGTCGATCAATTGAAATGATTAAATCTTTAAAACCTAAAATTAGAAAAAGCAGGAAAAAAGATAATTTTTACAAATAGCAAATAATTCCAATCACAAAATAATAGCAATTCATTCAAATCAAGCTCTCAAGTTATTTACAGTTTTTCAACACTAAAAGGGATCAACTTAAAGCTATAATGTGGTTTTCCCTTGCTCCTAAAAGAACAAACTACCTTAATAAGCAATCAAATTTTGTTGAGTAAAGTATAAAAATCAAAATTTGTTGATCGAACCTCCAATTTGATAAAATAAATACCTCGAGATTTAAAAGTGAGCATAAAGTCGTTCTAGACTAAAACCCAAGAGAAAGATAAATCTCCATGAAGGTTCTCAAATTGATCTTCTTAACTGCAAATCCAAGCAAGTGAGTCAAGAATAAATCTTAGAAAATTGGTTATAAACAAAAAAACTGTAGCCAATAATAAAACCCTAGAAAGTACTGGGGAAAATTCTCACATTTGAGCGTTGTAGAGAGAGAGAGAGAAGTTGAGTGCTGTAGGGATTTTTGAGGCGCGTCCTATTGCAATTTCCCGACTTCGAATTTCTTCTTCGCCTCCGGAGAATGAGAGGTCGCCAAATTACGGCTTCCTTTAGTTACTTTAGTTATTTCGATTCGAAGAAAACTATCACAGAATGTTACTGTCCCCTATCTTCGCTTTCATCGCTCTCAATTTTTGATTTTTTTATGATTTTCTAAATCTTTATCTGAAGAAATATTGAGAGAGAAAGAGAGAGAATCGTGGAGAATGTGAAAAAAGTGTACGGTCAGTGGTCGCCTTGAATGACAACGATAACTTTTTCAAGGAGAACATGGGTTGCGAAACGTGGGAAGTTTTTTTAAAGGAGAACATGGGTTGTGAAAAGTGGGAAGTTTGGAGAAAGAGTACCGAGATGAGTTGGATTTTTTTTTTAAATCTGATTGGTCCAAGTATGTGTTACTGTTCATTAGAGCTTTTTTATTGTTCGCCTTTAGTTAAAAGAAGTAATTGATAACAGGCGATTGAACCGCCATATATTTAAGTTTATACTGCTTTTTCAGTTCCTATAATTAAACAAAGAAGGATTTATAGAAACTACAAAATCTTGACTAGAATACTGCTTTTTTTATTCCCAGTTCCTTTTTTATTTAGTTTGCCGGGGATTATAATATAATTAACTTATTGTGTATTCTCTCTCACCTTGCCTTCTTTTAACTCAACTGGTTATATTTCTTTGTAAATGTTATAGATGCACACATTGGTATTGGCATTGGGACCAATATTTCCAACTTCAATGAGGAGCTTCGATATGAAATTGGATCTGGAAGGATGATGTATTCTTTGGATAATTTTCATAGTGTATCTCTAGCGGGAACTGGGAGTTTCTGTGTGGCTGTTCAGAATGCAGACGCGGGTGCTCTGCAAGCGGGTTTGAATTGGGCTTGCGGGCCTGGCGGGGCGAATTGCAGTGCAATCCAACCCGGAGAGCCTTGTTATTCTACTAATTTGGCAGCGCTGGCTTCTTATGCTTATAATGATTATTATCAGAGGGCACAAGCAACTGGAGGGACTTGCGGCTTCAATAACACTGCTATGCTTACTACTAACGATCCTAGTAAGTTCTCTGTTTCGATTTTTCTTACTAATTGATTTCAGCTTTGAGTTTTGTTTTGCTAAAACATTAAGCTACACACTTTGGAGATCATGGGGAAGTGACTACACAGAAATCTGTAGTTATTGAAGAGTTACACATGGGGGAAGTTTTGACTGGGGGGGAAAAAAGGAAGTTGAGACTTTTCAACCATATGCAAAATTTCTTCTGAAAGCATTACATTCTTCTTAGGGAAGATGAATATAAAAAAATAGCTATAGGAAGTTGAAGAGAAATTTTCTTTTTCAGCTTTCTTTAAGTTATAAATAACTTTCAAGATAATAGTATTTACCAAAAGCAATTTAGCATTTATAATTTGTTCAGCCTTCCATAGAGCCTCCTTGAACTATAACTACGAAAACGAGGAACATGTTACTTGATATTTTTCAGTTTACATGCTTTATTCCTTCTCTGAACACCGACAATTGTTTTTTTGCTTACAGGCAATGGCGCTTGCATTTTCACTGGGAGGTAAGTCATCAAAACACCATGTATCTTCATTCGTCAGTTTATATAAAGTTGTGCGGATTAGTTTCACAAACCTAGCGTGATCTTCGCGGTGTTTTGCACAAAACTCCCTTAAAATTTCTTAAGTAGAAAAAACTACCACGAATATATTACTTAATTATTGTATACTAATAAAGAAGCCATGATACATGATTTTATGGGATGCCTATCCCCAGTTGGCGTAGCGGTAAACCCCTTTGGGTACTGGTGATTAGGGCTTGCGGCCTTGGCTCAAAAAGCCAAGGGTCAGTTCTAGTCTATAGCATTGTCTATCCTTAATTTTTAATTATTAGGCATTGCAATATTGTGCTATTCACCTAGGTTTGGACTACGAAAGGGGGGTGCCATGCTGGGATTTACTTGCCTGGTATTAAGCCAAGGTTCTTCACACCAAAAAAACCTGTCATTAGTTGTAAAATTGCTACGCTTAATAAATAATTAGATATGTGATCACTTTTCATCTTCTTTACTATTTGATTATTCTCTTTTCCTCTATAATTTTCATCTAAAAATAATATGAAACCTTCCAACTTTTCTAAAATTAAGCCATCAATATTTACATCTAAGCTAAATATAAGAAAACCCCTTAGCTTTGGACTATTATTAGATAACCCATCATAACTTTCAAACTAAAAAACCCTTAACTTTCAAAATATCAGAAAACCTCTCTTAACTTTAAGATTTTATTAGAAAGCCTACCGAACAATGTTAAACCACAATTTGCACAAGGATGGGAAAACTTATGCAAGGGGGTATTTTCATTGGTGGAATTTGTGGTTTACACTCTTAGGAGTTTTTCTGATAAAATATTAAGTTAAAGGAGGTTTCTGCTATTTTGAAAGTTATCGGGGTTATTTGATAGTAGTCCGAAATTAAGGGAAGTTTTCTAATATCAGCCTTACAACTATCGACAACATTGTAATACACGTGCATCATCGAAGAAAGACCTAGTTTTTCCCCCTAAACAATCATGCTTATCATAAACTATAGGGTAAGTTGTCATATGCATCACATGTGACGTGTTTTGAATAATTATGTCCTTATATATTGTATATTTTACACGTTATCCTTATGAATGTTGTGGATAATTTGCAACCTTCATAAGGATTTATAATACATAAAAACTAGTATGATCTAACAAAAGGGCTAATTTCACAAAACCCCTAAACTTTGGTGGGGGTTTTTGTGCATAACCCTCCTGAACTCTGGGGTTTTGCTCATAACCCCCTTGAACTCTGGGGGTGAAAAAAAGTTCAGGGACGTCATGTATCAACCTGTAAAAGATTATGGTAGTTTTGTTTAAAACTCCCTAAAGTTCACAGTAGTTTTGTGAAGTTTACCCAAAAATTTATGGTAGCTCATTTACAAAAAAACTCGTGATTTCTGTTTGAAGCTCGGAGACAGGCACAAACTCTACAGGCGGTGGCGGTTTACCGAACACAAATTCAAGCAGTGGCGGCGGCGGCAGTGGTAGCATAATACCAAATCCATCTTTTGGACCTTCAGGCCCTTCAGCCTTCGACAACAGCGTTTCAGGACTTCAGCTTCCCAAGCTTGAATACGTGGTTGTCTTAGTGATATTGCTGTCTTTGTTCAAAATATAGAATGCATCTTCATACAAGTTATACATATTGAATAGGATAAAATAGAGGTAATTCACAGTTTGGCCGCTGTTATCATTTGAAGAGAATGTATATTTTAGTAAATTGATCCTTTGAATTTTGATGGGGTTTTGGTTCTGTTCTATATGTGATACAATTTTGAGCAGAAATATTGTAAGACCTTTTATTAAATGCTATTTGAGAATTGGAGGGATTTTGTTTTGAATCTCAAACTTGCTAGACTTTCTTTTGTCTAACGCTTTCTTTGCAATGTGTGAGGTTGAGATGTGATATGAGAATGCCATGATGTTAATTTACCTTTTTATCTTTAAAATAAGTGGGAAGAAATAGATTACGTCCTATACTGAGAGTAAAAATTTTAATATACATCCATGATATCTCACTCTAGTGGAGAATAACACCTATATATTACTGATGAATGAAACGCTAAGAAATAATTTGGGGAGTTAAATGACTGGACCTTCATGCCAGATGTGAATTCCCCTACCCTAGCCCAGGGCAGCAACTAACCGGCCTGTATCCTGCACCCGATCTCCTCGATCAATTCTGTAGATTAGAACATACATGACACTACAGTCTAAATCAAATCAACCAGCTAAATTCACGTGCCGACATGATTAGTGATAACATTGTAGTTAACATTAAGCGTCCAGCCAAAGGCACGATATATAAGAGACATTGTCAATTATTGAATGACGACTATCTCGACTCTTCACACCTAGCCCTTAGCAATAAACTTGAAAAGAAGCTTTCTTTCACTTTCCTTATAAAACATTCAAAACATAGAGGTACGTTCTGTGTCAAAAGGACGTTGACCACACCTTGAAAAATACAAAAACTCAGATTAAGTGGTTTAGATTAATTTAATTAATCTAAACTTCCACATCTCTTACACTTTCTCAAAGCTATCTGTTTGATGAAGGGATGAACAAGAGCTCAGTTTTTTTTGCCCCCGGTTCTGCTCTCAATTGAAGGGGTAATTTGGGCTATATCTGTATTTGGGTTCAAAGAGGAAGCAGATTAACAGTACCCTTGTTTTTGGGTTGGGCTCTTCGTCTTCATGTGGGTTGGTGTTTTGGACAATAATGTTTGACTCTCTACAAGGGCTGCTTCGGCAGGTTTGTAACAAATCTGCAGTAGAAAATGGGCCGTTTGAAAATTTTTTGTCAAAATAAAAAGGGAAAATTGTGTCCAGGCCCCAAAAGTGGGAACTTCATGTGACAAGCCCCCTCGTATTTCGGCCCATGTGTATTAGCCCAAAAAAGTGAAGACTAATGTTTTAAGCCCCCTCCACGTCAGCGTTGTACAAAAGCAAATTGTATTTTTTTTTTTAAAAGGCGATATTGCCCTTCTCTTTCTTCCCCAGACGAGGCGCCGTCCCTTAACAGTAGACACTCCTCTTTAATGCGATAAGATGGAAGAAATGGAGGAAAATTTTCCCCCTTTTTTTCCCATCATGAGTAATAACTATTTAGTTATCCATTACTTCTCCTCAGACCAAAATTCTCTCCTTTACTCGCGCCATTAATCTTACCAAAATTCTCTCCTTTACTCGCGCCATTAATTTTACCTTCTCTTTCTCTTCAAAATGGCTGAGAAGGACATCATTTGCATTGTCTCTTCGGGGTACAAAGCGGTATTTTTGAAGATTAACTCCTCAACCACCATCCTGGATCTCAAATTTGATGTGGCAGAGAGGTTAGGTATTCCATATGAGTCATTAATTCTGTCATACGAAGATGAAACAGCTGGAAGCTTGAAATTTCCTATTGAGAACGAGGGGGACATGATGTCTATGGTGGAGCATTGTCACAATCTTGGACTGAAAGAGGTTCACATGAAAGCTGATGATTTGCAGAATATACACTGCAATGAGCGAGTCCAACCTTGCAAAGAGCAAGTCCCACAAGACATGTAGGTTAACTGCGAAGTAAACGAACGCTAGTGCTAATCGTCTTCTTTTTGTCTATGTTGAATGTTAAACTGGATTTCAGATGTATTTCAACAATATGTTAGTTGTAATCGTTGACCTGTTAGTTCTAATCAACGTGTTGTTGCTGAATGGGTTTTTGTTAGTTCTAATGGCTATTTTGTTAGTTCTAATGGCTATTTTGTTAGTTCTACACGATTGCATGCATGTTCTAATGGCTATTTTGTTAGTTATAATCGCTATTTTGTTAGTTCTACACGATTGCATGCATGTTAGTTCTATTAATACATATAGGGGTTTCTGTTAGTTCTAGTAGCTATTTTGTTACTTCTACACGATTGTATGTTAGTTCTATCACCAGTTCCATATGGGGTAGAGCTACTCTAAAGCATGTTAGACCCCTATCAACACTTTTATTTGTGTAGTTTATGATTAACTATTTTCCTGTTGTTAATATTTGTAGCGCTTCCAGAAGTCTAAACTCGAAAAGTATAGACTGTGGCCCGCCGGAGTTGTCGTCCACAACTGTTGCAGATAAGAATCCCAATGACATTCCTTCAAGAGATAATGTTATGATGATTGATGACATGATTAGCAGATCTGAGAGGATTCCTGCTTGGTGGCACACTGCGTTAACTGGGGAGGGGCAACGTTTTGAAAGTGCGAAGGAGTTAAGATTGGCCTTGCTATACTACTCCATGGCCAAAAAATTCGAATATGAGTTTGTGAAGAATGAACCAAAGCGTATTCGAGTTTTTTGCCGGTTTAAGGTAGCCAAAAATTGCCCATGGATGTTATTTGCCTCTCCGCCGAAAAATGATAATAGACTTGAAATAAAAAGGTTCGTGGACATTCACAACTGTGGACAACATGCCAATAATGCAGGTCAATCTAGAGCCTCTCGTCATTTCATTGCTACCCAATTACAACCCACGTTGAAGGTACGTCCGGATATACGACCTATTGACGTTCAGAAGGAGTTTCTAAGTTCATATGGGATTAGGGTTGAATATAGTAAGATTTGATGGGGTAAAGAAAGAGCTCAAGAGCGATTATATGGTGATGCTTATGAGTCCTACGATCAATTGAGATGGTAAATCAGAAGATCGTATATACACAAGTTGCTGTTGTTTTCATTTATATGACGCTATAAGTCTCATAACTTTATAATGTTGAAACTAACACTTAATCTTCAATTGTCTAAGTATGTAGACGAGGTTAAGAAGACAAATCCGGGAAGCTACATTCATGTTGAACAAGACGAGGGTAGGTTTACAAGGATATTCATCTGCTATGCGGCCTGCATAAATGGTTTTTTACAAGGTTGCAGACCACTTATATTTTTGGATGGAACCTTTCTGAAAGATCGATTCAAAGGTATACTATTAAGCGCCGTAGCATATGATGGCAATCAGGGGATATTTCCATTGGCCTATTGTATCTGCGATCAAGAAAATAATGTTAACTGGAAGTGGTTCCTATAAGGTTAGTTCCAACATTATACATGATGGTGCCAACAAAAATAGAACTAACACAACACCTGACAGAACTAACACAACAGACAATAGAACTAACACAACAGACAATAGAACTAACACAACACCTGACAGAACTAACACTTCAGAAATCTAGTTCTAATATCGCTATTATAATTCTATCTCCTTCGTAGTTAACTTTAAGGGCTGTTAACCAATACTCTTTGTAGGTCTGTGGTCCATTCTCTATGAAAGGGCAGATCCATACAACCCTCCACATAAGCTAGTGATAATTTCAGATGCGGATAAAGGGATCAGAAAAGCAGTTAGAGAATTTTTTCCCGATTCTATACACTCTCACTGTGTGCTGCATTTGGTCGAGAACTTCAGAACAAAGTTGAAGGATTTGGGATTCAAGTCAAAGGATTCTCAGATCTTGGGTAATCTACTGCAATCTGCCTGTTACAAATATACTAGAGCAGAATGGAATGATTATATGGACGACATCAGACTAATTGACGAGCGTGCATACAATATTGTGATGAACTATGCTCCAGAAAACTGGGCCAATGCGTTTTTTCCTGGAGTTAGGCAAGTAATATTTCATTTGATTACCTTACATATAACTAATAGAAGTAGATAGAACTAACACTGTCTATGTTTAGATATGGTCACGTTACATCAAATGTTGCAGAGTCATTCAACAAATGGATTCATGAGGCAAGGCTTCTACGGATACTCCAACTGATAGAGCATATTCGTAAACAGATCATGGTGCGCATGAATGAGCGACGAGTCATGGCTGAAAGTTGGAATCAAGTTCTTTACCCCAAAGCTGAAATTGCCCTCAAGGAGAACATGGACAATGGACGCCCGTTGGAGGTTCGTCAGTCCCACACAGGCTTATTTGAAGTACAATCCCATAGATCTTGTCAAGTGGATCTATACCAATAAAACATGCACTTGCCGTGGGTGGGATGTAACCCGTGTCCCTTGCAAACATGCATGCGCAAGCATTATGTTTATGAAAAGGGATGTCTACTAATTCTGTGACTGGTTTATGACGGTTGACGCCTTTAAAAGGAGCTACGAGCCTATCATCTATCCTATACCTGACTACGAGAAACGCAGCGTGCCAAGGGATGAGATACAGATCCTACCTCCAATTACAACGAAAAGGAAAGGGAGAAATAAGACCAGGCGAATCAACAACAGAACTGTTTACACCCGGCCAGTTAAATGTTCTCGGTGTCATCTGGAAGGGCATAATCGTAAAACCTGTAATGAAACCATCGCTGACTAAGTGTGATTGAAATGAAAATAGATCTGTTATTGTCCGATTTGCTAAGTGTGTTTTGAGATAAAACTATCGCGGACTGTCGTAAAACATGTAATGAAAATAGATCTGACTATTGTCCGATTTGCTAGCACACTTCTAAAAATAGATCTAACATGGTACCTATTAGAACTAACAAAATAGACAATAGAACTAACAAAACAGACAATAGAACTAACAAAGCAGACAATAGACCTAACAAAACAGTCTATTAGAACTAACACAACAGACAATAGAACTAACAAAACAGATAATAGACCTAACAAAACAGACAATAGATCTAACAAAATAGTCTATTAGAACTAACAAAACAGACAATAGAACTAACAAAGCAGACAATAGACCTAACAAAACGGCCAATTAGAACTAACAAAACAGACAATAGACCTAACAAAACAGTCTATTAGAACTAACAAAACAGACAATAGAACTAACAAAGCAGACAATAGACCTAACAAAACAGTCAATTAGAACTATCAAAACAGACAATAGAACTAACAAAACAGACAATAGACCTAACAAAACAGTCTATTAGAACTAACAAAACAGTCAATTAGAACTATCAAAACAGACAATAGAACTAACAAAACAGTATATAGAACTAACTCTCATTACAACTAACAAGAGCGTTAATAGAACTAACAAAATAACTAACACAACTAACACACTGAGCATTAGAACTAACAGAACAGACAATAGACAATAGAACTAACAAAACATACAATAGAACCTAACAAAACAGACAATAGAACTAACAAAACAGACAATAGAACTAACACAACAGACAATAGAACTAACAAAACAGACAATAGATCTAACAAAACAGTCTATTAGAACTAACACAACAGACAATAGAACTAACAAAACAGACAATAGACCTAACAAAACAGTCTATTAGAACTAACAAAACAGTCAATTAGATCTAACAAAACAGACAATAGACCTAACAAAACAGTCTATTAGAACTAACAAAACAGTCTATTAGAACTAACACAACAGACAATAGAACTAACAAAACAAACAATAGACCTAACAAAACAGTCTATTAGAACTAACAAAATAGAAAATAGAACTAACACAACAGACAATAGACCTAACAAAACAGTCAAATAGAACTATCAAAACACACAATAGAACTAACAAAACAGACAATTGAGCTAACAAAACAGTCTATAAGAACTAACACAACAGACAATAGAACTAACAAAACAGACAATAGACCTAACAAAACAGTCTATTAGAACTAACAAAACAGACAATAGAACTAACAAAGCAGACAATAGACCTAACAAAACAGTCAATTAGAACTATCAAAACAGACAATAGAACTAACAAAACAGACAATAGACCTAACAAAACAGTCAATTAGAACTATCAAAACAGACAATAGAACTAACAAAACAGACAATAGACCTAACAAAACAGTCATGGTACCTAATAGAACTAACATGCTACACATTAGACTCGATTGGTGCCGGATCTTCATTTGTTGCTACCTTCGCTGGATCGAAAGCGATGTGAGGATGGAGAGCTTGGAGCCGTGGAACCACTATCCGCCCCGGCTGGGTCTAATGGGCGATTATCATTGGGTGTTGGGAGAGCTCTGGGATAATTGGAACCCCCGACTCCTTGGTTGCGGAGAAACAGCTGCCACTGGTCTCTTTCGACTGTCATGTTTCTCCCGTCCCAAACAACCTCAATTAACTCGGGCGTGGATTCCTGTAGCAATTCCAACTTCTCCCCGCTCTGGACCTGCGTCACGGCGTAGCCTTCCTTTATATTTCCGTCGCCGGGGGAGATGTAACGGAACCTAAGCCTCTTAAGGATTTCAGATAAATTCTTAACCTTCAGAAGAACTCTGCAGTCTGCGAAGTTAGAATGTGTTATGACGTCCCTGGAGCACATGACACATTCACCGACTCCCATGAGCAGCGAACGAAGAAATTCAAAATTCCACAGGTGGTATGGGACATTGAATAGCCGAATCCATACTGGAAAAGGTTGCGGCAACGTTACTAGCCTCAGATCCTCCTCCCAACGGCGGAATCTACCATTAAATGTGCCCATATCTATCAGTCCAAGTTGAACAGCTTGGGCAAGTATGGGATCGCTTGGAAACTGCACCATGAAACTGTTTCCGGCTGCCTGCTTGATTTGGTGGGGCCACGTTCTAAAATTGAATCGATAGGCTAGCATCTCCCGGAGCTCCTGCACGGATGGACGGCCACTTTCAAGGTAGAAAATGGCGTAAGCCGACAGATGCCGGATGGTGCTGGAGGTGTTGGACGGGATAGTTATCAGCCTCGGAGGGGCACAGGCGGTAAGCTTATGATGACAATCGCGGGAGCTATGCCCCTGCCCATGGCAGTGAACACAGAAAAATTCCTTAGCCATTTGCAAGAAGAATTTACGCCGGAAATAGTTCTCCGCTTCGAAAATGGCTTAAGTTCTTGATGGTGGTGACGTGAGTATCGATGCAATGTCGTAATTAAATGTCCGCCTTACCTCACTTGGGAACGCGCGAATGTATGATGTGATCAATTGGTACGATGGGACGTGACAGGAGAAAAAGCTGAACAGCTGGAGTAACAATTGGCGGTGATGGAAAGTCATCTCTTCAAACAAACACTAAAATAATACCAATGAGATAGAACAAACGAGCCCTCGCTAGAACAATCACCCATTTAGAACTAGCACTTCTTTACGACTATAACTCATTTAGAACTAACAAGAAAAAGAAGTTGTTCTAACTTGGCAACGTGGAGTACCAAGTTGAAGTTGGGACCGAGAACGCATTTTTTATACAAATATACACTCCATTCTGTATTTATATAGACATGTCATTCATCACTGTACACCATTTCGTCTTTACATCTTCGTTCATAGCCAGCTATTAATAATTGCGCGGCGAGTCTTGCTCGCATAGCATCAGGTACTTCGCCAGGCGGATTAACAAGAGTTGTTGGGCGGCCATCAATTATTGCTTTTATATATAGGTAGACGAACACACCACAGTCAAATCTGCAGAACAGAAGGCAGAACAGAAGACTAAATCAGACATTCTCGCAATAATACAATGTAGCTATAGAACTAATGCAAATAGAAACATGATAGGTAATAGAACTAACCGCCCAATTTGCCGCTCGCATGCGACGGCTTCATATTTGAATACTCTGCGCACATTTTGCGCAACAAAATCCACGCGCTGCATATCAAAGAATTTTATAATTTTGTTAACCGGCTCCAACCACGATTCGTGCCCGGCCGAACTATAGTGCTTGACAACATCATCCCTCAGGTCAACTTCAACCAGATGCCAATGGTCGTCCCTGACCAAAGGGATCAATAGATGCATAATGCGGAGGGCGGTATACTTTTCAATGTATGTCAAAAATAGTTCGTAAAAGCTGGGTTCGATGCCGTATAATGAATGCTGCAAGCACGGAGATAGAACTAACATTAAACAGACTAGAACTAACATGATAAGGTATAGAACTAACATGTTATACCGTAGAACTAACATATTACTGAATAGAACTAACATGGTACTGAATAGAACTAACATGATAAGGTATAGAACTAACTAACATGTTATACCGTAGAATGAACATATTACTGAATAGAACTATTTGTGGAAAATTTGCAGTAAAAGAAATGAAAGAAAATTGATTTGTATTCCTTTGATCTCGATTACAATTGGATTTCCTGATTACAAAAGAGAAGAGAATGATATGGATTCTCTCCTTTGTTTAATTCTGGGTCCTTCACGGTAGCGATGAGATGCCTCCCTCGAATGTTCGCGTCGAGTTTGCTTCTCGTTGACGATCCGATGTCTTGTTTCACTGGAACGTGGTCTTCTCCTCACGATTTGACGTTGTGGAGAACTCTGAACGAGTTTAAAACTCTATGAAAGAGTTGATTTAACCGAAAGTCGGTTATAAGCCAAGGATGAAGAAGATCTTATTGCCGATCCCCAAAGATTCAGTCTCTGTTGCTGCCAAGAAGTTCCAACAGACCGCCCCTGAACTGAACTGATTTTCAGTTATTTATAGAGGATTAAGGGGTGTAACCACCTCCTTAATTCGCTCCTAAGTGGGGCTAATAGGATGTAACCGCCCCCTTAAATCACTCCTGAGTGGAGTTGTGATCCCCTCAGATCGTGGAAAACGGTTTTAAAACCGTTCAGCTCGTGTTTGAACGAGTCAAACACAGACCCGCGTTCTGACATGAATTCTGTGTCCAAACGCAATGCCTAAAAGCTTGAACGCAGTATCTGGAAGCTCGGACGCAGCGTTTGGAAGCTCATTTGCAGCGATTTAAGAGCTGCGTTTGGCAGCGGATCTGAGCTGCGTTTGGAGCTGGATGTGACATGCGTTTACAGCGTTTGAAGGTTGCGTTTACAGCGATTTGGA